AGTACTTATAGGCGTTTACGAACCCTACTAGAAATCTACAGGAGGCTATAATTATCTTTATAATTACTTCTTAACTTTTCTTACTATAGTTAGTAAGGTATATTAACTATAATTATTAGATCTATAATATCCTTCTATATAATTTCTAACTTATCCTACTCCTAAAGCTCTTAAATAAATATAAGCTACTTCTCCTCGACTTCGAATTTAGTAATATATATAAATATTATTAGATCTTATATAATAGATATATTTAGTGTCTCTTATTAATAATAGTAAATATTACGCATAGAATTAAATAATTACTTAACGCTAGCGTTAGTAGCTAGGATTGAGAGAAGATTATAAGCGAGGCTTATAAACGTAGGAAATTTATACTAATAATCCTTCTAGAACTAATAGAGTAAGATTAGGATAGTATCTAGATAGAAGATAGATTATAATAATTAGTATAATATTTAGATAGATTAGAACTAATATCTCTATTAAAACTAGGGTTCTAAGGTAGGCCTTAAAACCCTAGTTCTAATAAAAATAGAAAGATAGAAACTTAATAGATTAGAACTAGGGTTTTAAGCGATTATTTAGAACCCTAATTTTAATAAAGATATATATAGAAATTTACCTCTTTTAATATATTATATTATTTTAGATTAGGAGCTTAAGATAGAAGAATCGGCTATTAAAAATATATTAAGCTCGTTAGTTTAATAGGACTATTTTATTTTAGATAGTGATTAAGAGCTTAGAATATTACTAGTTTAGTAGCTTAAAAACTAACTCTTAAGATTTTACTAATATTAGATACTATAATCTATTTAAGGATAGTCCTAGTCTTTAGTTTAAAAAAATTTAACCTTATACTAAAGGGCTAAGATAGTACTAATTATATAGATATCACCGAGCTCTTTATTATTTATTATAGAGTAATACTTATAGAGTTTACTTTTAGCTAATTTAAAGACTCGATATATCTATTATTTCTATCTAATCTTCTTTTTACTAAACTATCTAATTAATCTCTTAAAATAATTAAATAGCTTATTATAGATAGTAAAGATAGTATAAATAGTAATATCCTTTATTTTTAAGAGGACTATAGTAAATTAGAAAAATAGCTAGATAATATTAAGAAAATAATTAATCTAGCGTTACTTATCTATATTAATTTTAAGATAAGAATAATTATATTTAGAGTAAAATTAATTAAAAACTAATTATAACTACTTTATATATTAGAGTATTAAAAAGGTTAAATTCTATCTAGTTTAGATATCTTAAATTAGAACTAATTAAGGGTAATCGGGCTAGAGACTAAAAAAAAACTCCTAATATTAAGGGTTTATATTAATAAAGATCGTAAGGTTTCTAATCTAAAATATAAAATAGATTAGGATAAACTTATATAATAGCTATAGTTACTAGAGATTAAGGTAATAAGCTACTAGAAACGATAGAAATAGCTACTAAATTAACGCCGGAAATCGGTATCCTCTCGACTAAATATAAACTTAGTATATACTCCGCGTATATAAACTATAGATATAAAATACTTACGCGATATACTCTAAGGTATTGTATTAGTAACCGATCAGGCCTATCTTAGGACTATAGCCTAGCTTATTAAGATATATAGTATCGCGTTAGCCTTTAATTAATATCTACTTTTTAAAGTATTCTATCTAATAAATATCTCTAGAGTAGTCTTTACGTAGCGGTTAAGGATAAAAGCTATCTAGTATTAGTATATACTTAGTATATAAGAGGTATATAGACTAACTAGCTCTAGAATATTTATTATATAGATACCGGCGAAAAATAGATTATTTCTCGAAAATAAAACTATATATCATCTAGCTACTATTAACTAAAATATCGTAACTAGGGATTATATAGTTAGTATTCAGCTAATATATATTAGATATATAATATATATACTAAGCTATTCTCCTTATTTAGGAAAATAAATAGATTAGGAGATAGATTATCCGCGTTCGTAATATTACTAGCTTTAATATTATATTTATATAGTCCTATAGTAATCGCGTTATACTATACCTAAGGCTTCTAGTTAATATTATTATTTAGGATAGGCCTTATATATATTTAGTATACGATGACACGGTTAGCGGGGCGCCAGAAACCGCTCCCATTGAACCGCCCATCTGCTGCCTGACACCGCCTGCCGCTCCCCGCCATCCTCTTGCCTGTTGCGGTATGGTCCCTACCCGTCTGGGGATAGCGCAACGTGCGCTGCTGTTAGGTCGCTCCACCATCCCTTGACTGGAACTATATAATCCCAACCTGATCCCCTCCAAGGACGACGCACTTTCTCTTCTCTTTTCCTCCCTCCATCCTTCCCAGGCCGGTGCACTGCCCCCTTCCAAGGATGCCGCGTTAACCGACGATTGCCCGCTTTCGGTAAGGTGTTCGCCCTGCCCCTTCCCGTTCACTGTCCCCCCTGAACTACGGGGTCGCCGATGTGTCGTCTGACCCAGTTTTGACGACTTGCAGCTGCCTTGTTTGTCGACCAACAACTCTGGTGATGAAGGTTCCTTAATAATAATGGAAGGAAGCAGCATCTGTTCTTCTACCACTGGTAGTCATGCCAATCTGGAGTGGCGAAAGCAATTGATACCCATTTTTGATATTGACTGTGTTTTCGGTCTCTCATCCTTTACTCTCTGCCGAGTTCTGTTTGCTCAGCCAGTATGCAACTTGAAACAGATGGCGGCCTTGTCACCACCCGGGTGCCAGGGATGGTACCTATTCTCCACCTGCAACGCCAGCCTGCTCACTAGTTGGCACCATTTGCACCATGCGTGTCCAACCAATTCATGATCACTTGGGCGCATTCAACTTCTGCATTCTCACGATGCTCACCATCCAATGGCGAAAGTACCGCACCCATCTTGTGACCTGGACCAGGCCCACTAGGATACATTAGGTCGTTCGTACATTGAAGGCGCAGCCTTTGCGAGCAACTGAAACTGTTGGATGTGAGAAGTTCTGGGCATTTCGGCGCGAATGGGCCCTCCAGAGACTTCCCTTTCCCGGGAAGATCAACACGTCAGCAGCTCTCTTGGTCTACATGGATATAGGAACAGAAAACAAAGGGGTCGCTTAGGTTGATGGTATAAAAGATGCCATTGACCCCAGGATTGGAGTTATTGTGTTCACCACTCTAATACCACACAATTCCCCTTCCACTTACTGTGTCATTCCCCAAAGATGTTTCAATCTCCGTTCCATGTTAATGCCTTCAAGCCTTGGATCCCCCCTCCAGCCAAATCACATCAGTCACACAATGTCCACAAGACCCTGAAACCCCTTAGATACCCAATACCTGTCTCTGCCTCCAGCCCTTCTACTTCCAAACCACATAGAGTTCCCCCTACACCGTGTTTGCTCCCTGTCCATAATTCTAAACACCACCCCCTGCCGGCGCGGCCGCCAGCCGAAGTTTGTGTACCTGTAAATGCCTAGTCACGTACTCTAAGGAGCCCCCGAGCTCCAACAAGTGGCAGATTTTCCCCAGAACCAAATTCGTTGCATACAGACAATACCGCATGCCGCACAACAGTTTCTGTTGAGAAAGATGACACCTACCCAACCAGTTCGGGTCTATTAGGTGATATCAGACACCCTATCACTGATGTTCCCACTGAAGTATCCTCATTTGAGGAAAGCACTGCAATGGATTATCTGTCATCTCCAAGTATATCTAGCCTGGAAGGTGGCCTGGAGCAGTTTTTTCGACTTCCAGATGCAAGCAGCACCATACCCATCGACCCAGAAATCCTTACTGATGGAGGCACTTGGAGTGTGAGCGAGCCATATCATGCTGCCCAGCAAGATAGTGGTCGAAATGCCCAAGAAATAGCTTGCGCTTATCCTGAGCCTCCACCTACCTTTAAAGACATTGCCGGCTGTTATCAGCATTCAACCGAGGGACGTCCTGACCCGCAGGATGATGCGGATCGCATGATTGACTGTCGCCGCAAAGATGACCATCGACCAATGCATCTTATCGATCATGGGAATCGTTCTGGTACTATTTGTTTTGATGTGCAAGACCCAAATCCCCGTTCCTGCAGTCGTGAACTATCGACATCTTGCAAGCGGCCATCCAAGACAAAGCAATCAGAACGATCTTCTAAACGCCCTCGAACAACCACTACACCATAGGCGCGTGAGCATTCCTTCACCACATTTCGCTCTTCCTTCCTGTCTTTACCATTTGAAGACCGTCTACAATTCCTTTCCTGGCTGTTTGAAGGCGTACTACTGCCCCGCTGTATACCTGACTGTGAACGTACCACCAATATCGCACCACCTCCAATGAGTGAGACTCAAGTTCCAGATCAGGGCCAGCCTCGTGGCGCCACAGGAAAGCCGGATGAGAGCAGCATGGGCCGGGATGGTTCCAGGAGAGGCATGCCGTGGTCAGACAAGGAAAAGAAGCTCTTGGTGGAATTAAGAAGAGAACGGAATCTTCCTTGGTCGGATGTGACAAGGTTATTCTCGGAGCGGTTTCCGGGTAGAAGTCAGAGTTCTATTCAAGTTTGCTGGAGTACATATCTCAAGGATATGCGGAGTTAATAAGGCTTATGAGGCTTATTGAAATGTACTTGGTGGATATAATATCTATTTCCATGTAATACATATTTTAAAATCCTTACCTGGGCTGCCTTTGCCCGACCTGGAACCAAAAAAGCGAGACATACCCTGAAACAGATCTGACCGATGAGAGCCGCATTACCAAACAGATGTGATAAGAATAAAACCGGCTTTGCTTTCTGCGATAACACAAGCCCCCGTAGACCCTGTTTTCATCGTGGGCGCTGACCTCGACCTAGGTGGTCCAATCGAAGATAAGCATCTTCTGATAGTAGTCGTTCCTTCCCTGGAAAGCGAGAGTAGAATGAATTACCTTCAAAGGTCTACCCCTCAGCGTTGGGATAAAAGAAAATTTCTTCACAACTGCCTTTTCATGCTCGTTATCTAGCATCGAATGGCCACAACTTGTCAGCTTTTACTACCGTCAGATTCTCACCACGAGATTCAGATTCTCTGGCCGTCTGTATCCATTGGTCATACGCCGCACGATGGGCATCCTTCGCAGCGTCCCATACATCATTCGGAACCCAGCCATCAGAGTTCGTATGGAGGGAGTTTCTCAGCCATAATTTAAGTCTTTGGACGGTCTCAAAGTCTTCATAATCTTGAGCGTGCTCCTTCAATTCTTCTTTAGTTGGAGAAAACGGGCACGAGCCTTGAAGTTCCAGTTCTGTCCAGCGAATCGAAAGCTCGATTAACTCTTGGCGAATAGCTGTGGCACTATCTCTCCATGTTGTATGACAGTATTGGAAGAGTCGAAATAAAGTCGGATCGAGTAACCTTGCGGGGCGTAATTTAGGAGCAAGGCCCTTCATGCACACATCGTATGTCTGGTAACAGATAGACGCATCTTTCCGTTCTTGTTCCTTGTGTTCGTCTTGTCCGCTCTTAAATGTGTTCTCCTCTGGCCCCCCAGGGGGTGCAGCAAAATCTGGAGTCTCATTGGCATAAATAAACGCAGGCTCAATGCTTGTTGATTGCCAATCAAGCAGGCCAGTAATAACGGTTGGATCTTCGGCTGAGACGTAGATATTCCTTTTATGAAAGTCAGGGTGAAGTAGAGCAGGCGTAGCAGCATTCTGAATGCGCTCATCTTTAACCAACTCCTGCATCACTTCCTGGCTTATTTTCAAAAGACGGATGTGGTCTTGAATTGAACCTTGATGAGGGAGAAACTCGCGACTGACAATATCTTCTTTCGGTAAACGAGAGAAACCGGTCTCTATCAAGCCTAGACAATAGCTTGCGAGGTCTTTCCCTAATTTCGTGCCCGTTGCGTTAGAACTGTTGTTAAAAAGGAGATAGAGAATCATGAAACTGACAGGGGCCGCAATTGGGACTCGGACCGCCGTAGAGTTCAAGTTCCCCCGGATTCCGGTTCCAGAAAACTGGACTGCAATATGGACCAACGCAGAAGCCCTGTTCCAAGGGAATCTTCATGTGTGATTCTAGCGGTCCATCTGAGAAGTATAGGCTGCCATAGGCCGGGAAGTCCAAGGACGCCAGATTTTTCATCGCCAATGAAAGCATCTTAGTGCACAGCATATGTTGTTCTGAGTTCATTTTGGGCCATATTTGGTGCAGCTGAACTCCTGCAACATGCTCCTGGATGATATATTCTGTGCCGATTGGATTTGACGGATTATCGTTCCAGTCTAGGACATTCGGTATCGGAAGTGAGAACTTGGATTGTACTATACGAGAAACAGCAATTAGTGAGCATGTTAACTGCGTCCTTATGAAGGTAGGTATGTATGCCAGCCTTACAGTATGTCATCGTTGCGACTTCAGAGTTGGTTGTCAACCTTGGCGGGCCAGCAATACTGGTTGGTAACCTTGCTACAACACAAGAACCCGTGTCCATTGTGAAAAGAAAGACCCTGTTAAATCCACCTTCTCTCTTTTCGTATTTGACGATCTTGGTTGCTCCTGGGCATAGACTGACAGTCCTGTCACAAAGGGCTGAGAAGTCGAACACAATGTGGCGAGAGTTTCGTTCGAGCTCATCCCGATTAAGCCATCTTCCGCTGGTGTACATATAAGGATCGAACCCTACAAATGGAATCAGCGACATAGAAAATTATAGGTCTGGGTAAATAATGCTACTGACCTGGAACCGGTCCTTCTTGGGTTAAGCTATCAGGCAAGGAATGTGGCGACATCGTGCTGGGTCTGCTTCCCATGTTGGATAGCTTCCGCTGAGAGGAAAAAGGGATTCGGAGATGCTGGATGTGTGGGGAAGGAACTCCCAACCGCCGCCAGAATCGAAGCATAATAGATAGCAGATCTTTGTTTCCGGCAGCCCATGAGCTCTTGTTGAACCAGCGTCTTTCAACCGCCCCTTGGTCCTATTCAGCGGTGTGTTTCGCGGTGTTGCCGTGCACCAATCAAATGTGTGCTAATTGCCGCCCACACCCCGACCGCCTGTAGTTTCTTCTTTCCAACAATAGTTACATCTCAACCGATCATCTAATTACTGTATAGAAAGAGCACGATCAACCACGCTTCAACCTCTCTACTGCAACTCAGATACTTCCGGGTTTTTTATCTGTTTAGAATCGAAACATCGCTTAAAATCTACTTTCGTCTATCGGGTGTCACAAATATCTATTATCTATTTAACTAGTCTAGCAGTTTCTGCCTTAAGCAATCTCATGCAACTTATCGAAGCGCCACGAAGTAAAAGGGTCTAAGTGAAGTTACACTAAGCGCGCATGTGAGGCTACCACCGCGGGATGTGGAGTACTACAGGAAATATGTGATTTGTTTCCAAAGCAAACTAGAAGGGGGATCTCAGTGTATCTTCATACGGCAAATTAACCTCGTTCTGCATGACATGCGGCTATCCGAAACTCCTTAGAATCGCATCTGGTCCATTTATCAACGGCTGGAAATTATTAGACGATACACTTGCGCCCCGTATTGATTGGGCCCGGCTTTTGTACGTCGACAAGAGAGCCATAATATTGATAAAGGCAATGGAGATCAAGTTTTGATCTTGTTCAGAGGGAGGAAGATTCGAGTGAGGGAAAGATCTGGATCTTCTATCTATGACAGAGGGAAAATTAGGAACAGAAGTTTGATGCAAGGTGTTGGTCAACGCAAGGGGCTGTGCGGATGGAATGCTTGTGAGTGAAAGTATGATTGGTCTCAACGTGATAACTATAAAACAGCGATAATATGTAGGATTTACGCGTGGAAGTACTGCACGACCAACCAAACGATTCATATTTTTCCACTGCGTAAGATACAACACTGTTGTATGTAGTATAGTTGCTATCAATCTAGTTAAGCAACTTAGTTAATTAACTTAGTTAACTAACTTAGCTCAAGGCAGTCTTACTTAGTGGATGGCCAAAGAAAGAGAAACAGGAACTTCGCGAGCTGCAACTGTGTCATATCTGCCTAAAGGAATCCAAGTTAACTCCTCGAATTTCCCTAAACCCTATCTACAGGTTCTTCCTAGCCTGCTCTTGTAGTTCGCTCAGGGCCCTCTCTGTTTCAGCGGCCTGATCTCCAGCGAGTGTGTCAAAGCGAGCTGTAGCCAATTTCGTATGCGTGCCCCGAGGTTGTTTTTTGACCCACTCCCGCAAGCCCGTGTTTTTAGCTTGCGAGTTGACTTGCAAAACAATGTTTTGGTATCGGTTGTCGATCAGTTCACCAGCGTCTATACGTAGCTGGTAATCTTCGTCATTTTTGGTCGTTTTTGATGGGAGGATGCGATTGCCGGAAGTGAATATTGCGCCGAATTTTTTCGCAACGTCATAGTTCTTCCTAATCTTTGAGAAAAATTCCTTGACTTGCTTCGACATCGCGGGGAGATCTGAGAATGTTAGATTATATCCATTCAATTTTTGAGAGACTACACACCGCAAATCAAGTGACCAGTGAACGTGAGATGTGCTGAAATGAATACAGTCAAATATACCAAGAAAAAATATGTGGTACTGATAGGTAGTAATGCCTAGGGACACCGATGAAAGCTCGGGAGCATAGGATGGTATTTATAGTTGGAGCATGATAGCGCTGCTCCAGTGGCAAAATCCGAAACCAAGGACAGAAGTAGCCCGTGCAACCAGAACTAGGAATTGGAAAATAATGAATCTAATACATAGGAAGTCACATTTTCAGTGAGTGGCCGCAACAAGATGAGCCGAGATCTAATCATTGCTGTTGGCGCTCGAGATTCTCAAACAGGTTGGATTAGATGAACATCTTTCCCCTCCGGGCAGGACTCAGTCCGATCGATGAGAGGATATCACGCTTTTACTGAGCATATGGCGGTCTGACCAACGTGCACCTAGGTGTGACAAGATGTATAGTTAGCTTGCGGAGACGAGGCTGATTAACAGCGGCAAACCTTGAGCGGCAAACTAGTAACGCCTAGCAGTCCTAACCGGGCGCGAATAACTCGCCAAATTAAATCAGTAATGAGAAAGAACATGCAGCTAGTGGTGCTACTCAGAAAACCCCACAATGTTTGGGCGGTTACGCCATCTACCAATAAAAGACCCTAAATAGTGGCTGCCAGTGGTCGAGCAATCAAGCGATACGCTAGATATGCTTTACTTCGCCTTGACTTTTGAGTCTGTATACGTCAAGTTCGCTCGCCCAATGATTACGTTGGTGCCAATCCACCTCTAGCGCTTTGACAGTTAGCATAGCCCAATAACACCGTTGACTAAAGAATGAGGCAATCACAAAGGTGCTGATCACATGCAGCCAGGTACCACAGCACAGCTGCCTTACCCAGTAGTGACCAACGTGGTAGCGCTTCTCCGCACATCTAGGCTTAGGTGTGGGTAGCGGAACTACGGGCCGTCACATAAACCACTCAAGTGATCATGGGCTCATTTCCCGGGCAGAAGCAGGTGCGAAGTGGTAAGCATCAAATGTTCGGAAACCACAAGGGGGCTATCCTCGAGGCCTTTGCGATAGTGACTCAGAATCGCTCGGTTTAATGTCTGAGATTGATGAATTGGGGTGCAAGTATGGTGGTTTAAATGATGAAAGACGAGATCTGCAAAGCCAGTCTTCGTCATCGAGGAAACATGTACATGACCAATTTGTACCGCAATATGTGAGGTTAAGAGCAATTATCCCACTCTATTGAGTTAATTGGCCGAATGAGATATACTGTGGCTTTACATGTTAGGGGGTAATTCCAACCAATCATAGCCGAAAATGCGGAGACTGGTTCTCGGGGTCGGTGGTTTTTCCAGTACCCAAGGAGGTCAACCTCCTTATGTAAAATTCCCCGGCCTGTTTACTGGGACAGTCGGAGTGGCTACTGGAGACCGCGATAACCTTAGGCCGGACAGGAAGGGACGATAGGAAGTAATCGTGGGTGGAAGTGTGCGTATTAAGGGCGAGGCTGGCTTGTTACGAGCGAAGTTCGCTTGCCCTGAGTGAAGCTCGCTCGCCCTGTGCGAGGCTCGCCTGTTTAGGTCGAAGCCGCCTGCGGGCCAAGCCAATCCATGTAGGGATCTACTATTGGCTGAACGAGCCAGAGTTCAAACAGCATCCTCACTCTTTAGACAAGTACTTATCTAAAATACTCCTAGATACACGTGATCTCAGAGTGGCTAATGAATGTCGCCGTTGGTACAAAGCTGGCTGGGCATAAATAACATGCAACGAGACAAATGCGTTTAAAGAGACTCGAAGAGGTTCCAAATGGATCCAGAGCCATTCAATCATTATTTAAAAGCGTGTGAATAGTTATCAGAGTTTATTATCAGACTAGGCCCCATCTTTCATCCCTCCGAATCATATAGTTTATATAGAGTCAATATTGCCTTCAAACGTCTCCGACTCTTGGCAGCCGTGCTGGGTATTATGCGAATATGGAAAGTCCTTGGCCGTTCTCCGAATGGGCGTAGGGTAATACATTTCCTGTAGTGGATTAGTGTCCGCGTAGCCCACTAGAAAGTGAATCTTACCAATTGTGATTCAAAGGAGGACCAAAACCCACTCTGATCAGCTAAGAACGTGTACACCCGACCAGAATCCCTCAATCGGATGCCTACACAAACATCCGCTCCGCATAACTTGCTATACTCATGGGCCTTTTTAATAATGCCTTCCCTTCGTCGATCTCTCATTTGCCGGAACGCCTTCCTCGAAGGAAGTGCCTTTTTCTTCTTCCTGTGGAGAGGGGTCTTCAATGCCATATTGAAAATTCTATTAAAAGAATTAGAAAGTGATGATGTAGAGAATCAGAAATATTTCTTCGTTCGTGTTATCATCTATAACAGGGGTCTAGCTAAGAATGAGTTAGATATATGAGTTAGGAGAGCCATGGTTTTGGATTATGCCAAAATTGTGGTGTTCAGCAATGAGACTATCTGTGGGTTTCAACACCATCAACTATATGAGGACCTCAGAATTTGCCCATCTCTTGTCGACTTGACCGTTCACCCGTGTTGAGCAGCAATTATATGATGGGGGTTGCCTGGGCAACTCGCAAAGGGGTGCTCGGTGATCAATAAATGGACTAGCCTGCGCCGTCTGGTTACGTCATAAATCGAAGGATCACGACAACCACATAACCTGCTAGGCAACACTCTCAGGGGAAACACCAATAAGAACTCCTCACATGATAAGATACTGATAAAAGGTCATAGTTGAACAGCCAAGGACAAAAAGCGATGCCCTCATCTAGTTATTGACCTCGGCAAATGCCCATCCGTATGGTGTTCGTTATACATTGCGGCCGTTTTATATAACCATCCTCTACCTTAGGAACATTAATATAGTGTAGGTCTTTTAGAGCATAAAGCCTCAATAGAATAGATACCATCCAGTTCCACGGAATGCTTGTTGGGTTCCTAAGAGGGAGCGTGACAAGCTCACAAGTATGGGCACCGTACTCCTGCGAGCTGTCAACCCATTTGCAGGAACAGACATCTCATTCCCAGTAATGCAGAGTCTCTTCATGGGAGCATTTAGTCCCCTAACGACGTAGTAGTTTGTAGGGGTCGTAAAACCTACGGTAGGATTGACCATGCTTCCGTGGGATGTACGCCGTCAATAGTCGAGGCCTCAGCTTATTGAGGTCATCGGCGGACGGCCAATTAACTGAAGACAGATTTCGACGTACTCATTTAGTTAATGATGCCGATCACGCACAGAGCAATTATTTAAAACCGTGGCCTCGCCTCTGCGGATTGGTCGCATGTACTATATAACTGCCTGTGCTTTAATTCTGCCTAAGCATAAGTGCAATGTTAAAAATCGTGGCCTCGCGTATGCGGGTGAATTGCCTGTGCTATGTAAACGCTTATGCATACAACCGCCTATGCCATACGACTGCCTGCGCCTTACTTCAGCACATACGGCAGGGTAATTGTTTGAAACCGTGGCATTGCGTGTGCGGGTGGATTGCCTATACTACGTGAACGCCTATGCTATACAATCGCCCATGTCATACGATTGCCTATGCTTTAATTCTGCCTAAGCACAAGTGCAATGTTTCAAAACGGTGGCATTACGTATGCGAGTGGATTGCCTATACTACGTGAACGCCTATACTATACAACTACCTATGCTTTACTTCTGCCTAAGCATAAGTTTATTGTTTAAAACCGTGGCCTAGCGTGTGCGGTTCTATCGCAGATGCCATTAATTCGCCCATGCGCAGTCATGGTTTGGAGCAATTACCCTACCGCATAGGCACAAGGATCAACAGGCCACAGTAATCGTGCGTATATAGCATGTCTTGCTCATAAACTAGTCGTAAAAGGCTGATACCATAATTCAAAAGGCCTACCGTTCCCGGGCTTTCCTCCAAGAGTTGTTTTGCGCATACAAATAAAGTAAGCACGCTTTTCTAATTTATCTTTGAAAGAGCTTCTTGCAAAGACACTCTATAACGATCAAGAAAGGGTCTTACCTTGTGGACGCGAAAATATTGTCGCCTAGGGTGAGATTAGATAATATGGGACAGCTAGTTATTTTCGCGAAAGGCACGAGGGACTTTTCCCGGTTAAAGAGGTTATGAAGGCCTGCAGATTCATGACCAGCGGAGCCCTCGGACACCTAGGGAGATCAGCCCGTGGTCTGAGATCGTAGACGGGCTTATATCTTGTGTTTGAGCACTGATCCGGTCAGTGGGCTCGTGGTGTAGGGCCCGTGTTTGAGGGCCGTATGCCTATGGCCAGGACTGCAGGACCGCAGGCAGAAGCCCGGAGCCCTCACACTAAGTGCCCAGGTACCCGGGTTTCGGACCGTTAGGTCCTGCGACCACGGTCTCAGGACCTGTGGGGCCTTTGAATTACTAACTGGCGACCAATGCCAGCATGGAACCACTACAGTTATCAAACTACGCGTATACGATCTTGTCAGGCTACAGACCACGGTCTCAGCAGCTCCGTATAATTCGACAATATAATTTGCACGTTATGATACCTTATCGCCCGTCGCTGTGTTTGCAACAACACCCTCGAACAACCGTGCGACCGAAGTCGGAGAGCCAGGTTCCAGCACCGCTGCGACGGAGTACATAGATATGCATACCATACAGGCATCTGTGGTCGAGCGACGGCGTTGTGCCAAGGAGACCAGTCATAGTCTGTAAATCCTTCAGTCTGCGAATTATTTGGCCTTTTTAGTTCCTGCGCACCTTTTTGGTGCTTATCTTCTATTTTTGGTATTATCCAAACTTCCATCTCAAATTTCTTATTTCAACCCGCGCGAGCCCATTTGGTATACCGTCACTTCATTGGCTGAAAGTGAGCCGGAGATGTCACCTACACCGTCCCCCGTAAGACTCACTGGACAATATTTGGAAGAACTGGGCAACAGAACTCAT